TGCATGGTGCCCAAGCACCACTGGGAGTGGCATCAAATTTAAAATATCATATAAATGAAGAACGTATGATGGGATGATGTGAAAGGCAATGATTAAGGGAAATTGGGTAGACTCAGGTTGCAAAAGGAAGTCAGCATTTGAAAATGATAAAATCTGAATTGCAAACCAGTCTCAGAAAAGTTGGCATGAAGCAGTATGAAAGGAAGGAGCAGAAGACCCTGGCGCCCAGTTGGTCTGAGTTCAGTGTGTCTGTGGGGACAGAAAGATCCAACTGTGAGACTGAAGCTTGGCGTGTGGGACGTACTGAGGGTGCTAACCTTAGAAAACACCAAAAGTTTGAATTTAATTCCAAGGGTGAGGAAATCTCATTGAGAATCCTTGAAAATTCTCTGGGCTCTCACTCGGGTGGTCTACATCTCTTTTGAGGAGACCAAGGAGGTCCAATGCTGTCAACAAGCAGAACTCTGCTCCTTCACTCTCTTGGAGCTCAGAAATTGACTTATGGCAGCAGAAGCCAGGAAACAGGCTGAGGAAGATGATGATCAGAGAGGCTCCCTTGTTCGTCTTGGGAAACTTTAGTGCCGGCAGTGAAGGGAAGGAGAGACTTCACTTTGTTCATCCCAGCAAATCTGGTGCATTGGTCCCGGGCATGAGTGTGTCACAGGACTGGGAGCAGAGCCCAGTTGCTCAATCTGGGCATTGATGGCCAAGGAACAAAAGGGCCCGTGAGGTTCTTCAGTTGGCTTGTGCACATTTGCTTTTTGCTCTTCATGTTCTTTTTTTTTGATTTTTTTGGGGGCCACACCCAGGGATGCTCAAGGTTTGCTCCTCACTCTCTTCTCAGGACTCACTCCTGGTGGGGTTTGGGGGAACCACATCTGGTGCCTGGGGTGAAACCTGAGTCAGCAGCCTGCAAGGCAATCACTTGACCCTCTGGCTTTTCTCCTGGTCCAGCAAATTGAGTTGGAATCATACCTTTGCCCTCTCCCGTCTGGGTCAATCACTAATGATTCAGAGCCTCATGTTCTTGAGTTTCTGTCAGTTCCTCAGAGAACTTAGGTTTGACACCACACTGCCCTGGGTGCTGGTGCAAGTCTACTTGCTCTGTATCAAGGACATAGATTGGAGCTACTAGTTTTGCTCACATAGAGGAACCTGGCTTGAACCCAGGTGCTATCTACAGTCTGTGCAGGCCAGGCCAGGTCTGACCTTCAGACTCCAGAATGTTCCACTGATTCAATATTACCGGCTTGCTTCTTGAGGAACAACAATGAATTTATCTTTGTGCCACTTTCAGGTTAAAAATCGTCTCCTTGCTTCTTTTCTGGGTGAGGAGGCTTCAAATTTGTGAGTGAGTAGAGGTGGTGCTTTTCCTCTAGAAGAGAGAGAATCCACTCTCTCAGTGTTGTCTGGTTCAGGGCAACCTCTGCAGTGGCCAACAGTCACATACACTTGTGAGCTGGACTGTAAGAGAAACTAGATTCACATGGAGTTTGAAAACAACACCAAAATAAGGCAAACTCTCTCCTTTATTTTATAGAGTGATCAGATGTTGGAATAACAATTCAGGGGGTATATTGGGTTTCATAAGAGCATTTCTTTTTTAATGCAGTTCCTGTAAAATATAATAGTGTACATGAGGGTCATTTGAACATTTACAGAAAAAAATAATAGAGCATGATTTTTGATTAGGCAACACAACTCAGTATTTTCCAAGAACATATCTCCTGGGGACAATAATGTTGAAATTATGAGGAAGGGAAGATAAAGGTAAAAATGGAGATGTTGTCCATAAGTGAGCTAAACTGTTTGCTCTATAGCATACACGAATACACATTTCATAAGTGAAAGAAGCTCCAGTGTGGCTCACATATTTCTCTTGGACAGAACTGACACATACCCTCACATTTCAGTCTCTGAGTAACCACTTGAGCTCGCTGGAATGATTCCCGTTTTACAGCAGAGAAAGCTGAGGGCAAGAGAAGCAAAGTCACTTTAACTAAAGTCAAAGATAGAGGTGGAATTCCTTGCTCCACTGCCTCTGTAATTCCTTTACAAGCTTCCACTGGCTAGAACAAGTGTGTGGCTACCGCTGTGAGCTGTGGATTCCCGTGTATCAGCTGACTCTGAACCCAGGTGGCTGAAGGATTATTTGTGCTGGGTAAGTTTCTGGTGGATATTTTTTTCCTGTAGGATCCTTCCCCCACCCCACCAAAAAGAGGAAAGCATTACACTTATTTTATGTGAAGACAACATGGTAAGGAGCCGCAGTAAGAGGGGTAAAGTAGAGAGGCTGGACTCTGGAGACACAAGTTCCAGGCCCAGGGCTTTTGAAACCCTTGTCAGTTTTTCACATCCTCCTTGCTGATAAAATGAAAGCCAGGGATGCCAGGATTCTCTTCCAAACGTGGTGGTAAATTCAGATAAGCGGGGCCCAGAGGTCCTCACTTAGAGGTTAATGAAAACTTGGGGACCTTTCATTTTCTGTAAGGCTCAGGTATTCTTCTGCTTCTGTGTTCAAATATCAAACAGAAGGAAGCTGACTCCTTATGGCCACTGTGGTATGAGTTTGATACTTACATGTATTTGCATTTGTGTGTACAGACTATTTATACATATGTGTGGGCAGACTATTCATACGTAGGTGTAGAATGGTTTTTGCATTCATGCAAAATTTAATGTTCATATATGCACTAGTATATATACACCTTACTGTACATGTAGGTTTATATGCAGCTACACATTAGTCAGTTTTATAATGCACATATATGGTACTATATAGTACATAATATTACAATATATAATTATTTTACATGCTATATTGTACATGTTATATTTTCTATTATAGTAAGTATGTTATATGTAGTAATTTTATAATTTAGAATGAGTTTATTATAATTTATAACATTATTTTATTATAAAATATTGGTAATTATATATTATGATAATTATACAACATATAATGCTCTACATAGCCATACACATGTTTCCATGCATATACACATAGATCACACAAGATATATATGAACACCCAAGGTCTATGCTTATACCTATACATGAGTGTACATGTTTATAGATTACATGTGTGTAGCATTAGATTATTTTCTATAGATCTCAAATATATTTTAATGTAGTAGACAGACATAAGAAAATATTTTTAAAGGATGTATTGAAGTAGAGAATAAAAATGTTAAACTACTGGCAACCCAGGCTTATGAATAATTTTTTGGTAAAGGACAAACTATATTTAGTTTCTTTGCTGTCTGCTAGTAATTCTCTTGTAGGAAACAGTCAAAGTTGGAGGGGCACTGTTCTCACAGGGACACGTCAAAGTGGACTGGATAGAGAATTAACCACTAGGTGATGTGAATTTTTTATCTGTCTTCCCCTCGATCCTTGTGTGTGGAAAGACTGTATTCTGCTGCATTTTCACTGAATTGAAATAGAAAGCTGCAAGATCAGGAGGGCAGTGCTTACCACAGAGAACTAAATTCCCCAGTACACAGTATCTATTCCTTCTCAGAGCTGGCCTCGTCCCTGCACAAGGCCACACATATTGCCTATAGTGCACTCATAGCACATAAAAACACTCAGGCCTCTGTGTGTACACAGCAGCACAAACGTGCACACTCACAAACCACACATGCACACTCATAGAAACACACTGCACACATCTATGCACACATGTGCACACAATGACATTTATGAGTGCCCACACACAAGCTATACACATGAGCATGTGATATATATGTGTGTATGCATAATGGATGTACACAATGTGAATGATATTCATTAATGTTTTTCTATATACTGCTGCTGGTTCCTGGAGCCGCGGTGGGGTGGGGGGAATAAAATTTGATGAAAATCTGCTGGAATTTTTCGACTGATGAAAGGATATGGCACATTACCTTGAGCTCATCCAATCAGTTAAACCAACCTTGAACTTCATCTTATTTGGCCTTCCTCCTGAAACATTTCTTATTTTTTTTTCCCAAAAATACTTCTGTCACCTGCTCTTTCAAGGCCCTTATTTATTTTTCTATGAATCTCTAGAAGTTTTCACCTGGTAATTTAGTATTTTTTTTTCAGAGAAGCTAATACGATTAGTATCTAAGAAGGAAAATCGTTGGTTGGATCATAGAAATAATGCCCCGAATTTTGTTCGTACGTTCTAGATTTTAGACAAGTATTAAGTGAAGGAATAAATTTCTATGGCAATGGAAATACCCAAGGTCTCCAGAAACCAAGATTTGGGAACCTAGGAACTGAGTCATTATCCTCTGCCCACATGCCTTTGGCTAAACCCAAATCAACTTCCCGGGGAGCAGACTCCCCTCAATGAGGCCACAAGGGACAATGCAAGGAAGGGCAAGACTAGGAACTAATATTTCAATGCTTTCACATTCACCTGCCCTGTTCCATCAGGAGCTGCTGACAGGAGCTGGGGTGGGAGGAGGGGGGAGCACAAACTTCCTGCTTCCTTTTCCCTCTTCAGTTTTTCAGTCTGCTGGGGGGAGGTGCTCGTATTTCATGGATGTTTGTTGAGATCCCAAACTCTCTCCAACCCTTTTCCTTGGTAGTTGGTGCATGGTGGAAGAGGGTGCAGAGTCACATCTGCCCTTCTGTTGTTTCAGAGAGCTGAAGATTATTTTCATGGTGAAAATAATGAAATGGGATAGTATTTAGTGGTGGACGGAAATTATATGAAATTCGGGTTCACAACTTAAGTTTGAGTGGAACATACTACATTACCTTTGTTCTTTTTTCTCTCAGCACCCTCAGAAGGAGTTGCCAGAGAGATGCTCTGTCTCTGTCTCAGCAAACTCTTCAAAGATTTACTCTAGTAACCAGCTAGCAAAGTTTATACCATTGGAATAAAGCAGGGTGTGTGTGTGTGGGGGGGGGGGGGGGTGAGGGAGGGAGGGTGACTGACAGGCTAGCAAAACAGCACGAAGTCAGACGTTTCTTAAGGTTAACGGTTTTTTCCCTTTGTTTCCTAGTAATCGGAGGCCTGTGCGACCCCCATGTGGCACTGATCGGGAGCGCTTCATGACCCAGCGACGCCCGTCCCAGTGAAGTCACCCGTCCGGCGTCCAGCATGAGCGCGCTGCTCCTGGGCGCGGTGCTGCTGGTGGCCCAGCTCCACGTGGTGCCTTCCAGGCCTGCAGCGGAGAGCGCGGTGGAGCCCGGCCAGCGGGAGCTTCCTGGACCGGCGGAGATGCCCCAGGACCAGGCGTGGGAGGGCGCAGCGGCCAACGGCTCGGCGCAGCAGCTGCCACACACGATCATCATTGGCGTGCGCAAGGGCGGCACGCGCGCTCTGCTGGAGATGCTGAGCCTGCATCCCGACGTGGCGGCCGCGGAGAACGAGGTGCATTTCTTCGACTGGGAGGAGCACTACAGCCAGGGTCTGGGCTGGTACCTGCGCCAGATGCCCTTCTCCGCCCCACGCCAGCTGACGGTGGAGAAGACGCCCGCCTACTTCACGTCGCCCAAAGTGCCTGAGCGCGTGCACCGCATGAACCCGGCCATCCGGCTGCTGCTCATCCTGCGGGACCCGGCGGAGCGCGTGCTGTCCGACTACACCCAAGTGTTCTACAACCACCTGCAGAAGCGCAAGCCCTACCCGCCCGTCGAGGAGGTGCTGCTGCGGGACGGGCGGCTCAACGTCCAGTACAAGGCGCTCAACCGCAGCCTCTACCACGTGCACCTGCAGCGCTGGCTGCGCTTCTTCCCACTGCGCCACGTCCACATCGTGGACGGCGACCGCCTCATCAGGGACCCCTTCCCCGAGATCCAGAAGGTCGAGCGGTTCCTGAGGCTGGCGCCGCAGATCAACGCCTCGAACTTCTACTTTAACAAGACCAAGGGCTTTTACTGCCTGCGGGACGGCGGCCGGGACCGCTGTTTGCACGAGTCCAAGGGCCGGGCGCACCCCCAAGTCGACCCCAAGCTCCTCAATAAACTCCACGAATATTTTCATGAGCCAAATAAGAAGTTTTTCGAGCTCGTGGGCAGAACATTTGATTGGCACTGAGGGGTACGGGCCAGGCCCGGGGACTTCCCTGTTGCAAGTTCCGATGTACATCCAGAGGGTGGGGAAAGAATTTTAAGGAAAGCTTAAGCTATAATTTATTTGTAAAATCCATAAATTACTTCTGTACAGTATTAGATTCACAAATGCCATATATAACTAGTTATATTTTTCTACTTGTTAAATTGAGGGCATTTTGTATTGTTTTTCATGGTTGTTAACATTGTGTAATATGTCTCTCTATGAAGGAACTAAAATATTTCGTTTCCAAAAAAAAGAGAAAGAAATGAAATGAAATTTTGGAGACACTGTCTTTTTTTTAATATAATTAGTTTGCCCCTGATTCAAAATTGTTGTCTGCGTTGCTTTCATTGCAGAATCTATTTTCTTTGCTTACTTTAGAAAACATTTTCCATGGCTATTATGTTCCTCTCTTATCTGTTCTTCACTGTTCTTTTTAATTTTTATTGTCTCACTGTGGTCATCATATTTATTTTTTACTTGCATTGTAGGATTTATTGCTGCAGAGTTTCCCTAGTACTCTTGGAGGCTCAATTTCACTTATTCTTCGCTTCAAGTAGGTATTTGAGTGTGGAGTTTAGTCCCATGTAACTCATAGGGAAAAAGCTAATAGTAATACTAAATAAGTGATTAAAATGTAAACAAGAGCCTCCCTCTCACCATCTTTGCTCAAATAATGCTAGGTGTATATCTGGTCTCAGCAGTAAGTGCATCCTATCATCAGGGTGGGTTCAACCTAAAGAAAGGGGGGTTAGAGTATTAACTTGCAGGATGCACTTGCTTTGAGTAGCAATGGGTCTCCATAAAGTTGTTTTAATAAAACCAATTTTCTTAGTCCATGTGTATTCCCATCTTGTAGATTCTGTGAAAATCTCACTAAAGGGATAGACTATGGGTTTAGTTGGGAGTCAATTTCTTGAAAGATTGTGTGTGTGTGTGTGTGTGTGTATAGGAATCCTGGAGGTGAAATAAAATTTCAACTTATAAGAGCTGATGCTGAAAGAAGAGCACGAAGTTGGCAGTCCTGGCACTTATCACTCCATTGGAAAGTTCAGGTTCTCTTCTGCTCCTAAACTTCTGGGTTTCTGGCAACATAGGAATATCAGCTCTCTTGGCCTTGGTTTTCTCATACATTTTTCATTTAGCTAGCTATTGGCATAATGAATGTAGTGGGATTTCTCTAATATTATAAAAGAAAACTATGCCGTATTATTAAAACAAATTTAAAAAATCAAGCAAGCAGAATGAACTGACTTCCTGCCATAGTTTACATTTCAAGTAGGGGATCAAAATGGACATTATTGATTGCCTCCTACATATGAGAACACATAGAAATTTCTCAAACAACTCCCGGAAGTAGGAATGAATTGTGGCAAGTTCAAAGACTAGAAATAAATAGGCAGGAAGAAGATAAGAAATTTACCCAGAGTTGCAATGACCCTAGGCCAGGGATTGGAGTCTTACTTAGAACCAAACACTAGATTTTTTTCCCCTTTCCTTCCCAATCCAACTTTTTCTGGACTCAAGAGGAAAGGCCAAGACTGTTCTTTCTGATTTGACCTGACAGAATCCTTTACTGATGCCAAACATCTTCTGTCTCAATAGGCATGGCTGAGTAAAGGGGCAAGAGTGAGCCTGCATTGTTTTTTAAAGCTTGCTATGAGGGATATGAGTCACCTTCATTATAGTTCATTATAGTTCAGCAACTTGCCCTGGTCTGACCTTAGCCTGGCCCATACCTCACCCCGTCCAGGATACAGAGAGGCTGCATTTCTCTTCAAAACCCACAAAGGTTGTCATTCTGCAACCAACTCCCAAGGGAGCCTGGAAGAAATATTTAGATCAGACTTCCTGTTGAGCTTGGTGGTACTCGGTAATCTGCAGTTTGTCTTTCTGCTGCATATATTGGATATTACTTTCATGACATCTATTCAAGTGCCAGGCTGGAGCGATAGCACAGTGGTGGGGCGTTTGCCTTGCACACAGCCAACATGACTGACCCGAGTTCGATTCCTCCACCCCTCTCAGAGAGCCCGGCAAGCTACCGAGAGTATCTCGCCCGCACGGCAGAGCCTGGCAAGCTCCCCGTGACGTATTCGATATGCCAGACACAGTAACAACAAAGTCTCCAATGGAGACATTACTGGGCCCGCTCGAGCAAATTGCTGAACAACGGGAGGGCCTTTACCTTACCTTACCTATTCAAGTGCTGAAAAAAATAAATGGCCAAGAAAGGATTTTTGGCCATCTGGAAAAGGTTCAGTTGAGTTTTCTAGACTCATCAAGATTTCTTTGATGCAGTGGATACTCCAAAGGGACTATTCTTATTTTCAAGAAGATACTCTTTGAAAATAAGCATGCTTGCATTGAGTTGTCTATGCCCTAATGTTTTAAACATGAGTTGCTTGGACAAGAAGTGGTATAAAGGAATGGAGAGAAGAAAGGCCAAGCACTAGAAAGATATGATATAGCAGCTAAGACTAGCATAGATGATAATAAATTATGGGTCAGAGTAAAATGACATGTACATGGAAATGTAACATTGGCTCATTTAGGGGCTCAGGGTCTTGAAAAAGTGTCTTGCTTTCTTGAAAATAAACCTATTCTTGTGGGTATGTCTAGTCATCTATTTGTCCTACAAGCCCAGCTGGCCATTTGGAAAATACAAGGAATAAGAAGCCAAAGTTCAGGTACTTGGATCTCTTCTGAGCATCTTCAAATTCATGAAGAGACTAAGCATTTCAGGGTTGGCCTTCATCACGGCCCAAATGCAATGACCCAGTGCCCTACTGGGTCTCTGAGCATACCCAATAGAAATCCTACTAACAAAGAGATATATGACAACTGGAAAGAATATGATTTCTATCCCCTCTATGTGTGTAGCATGTGGGTGAGGATGGGGGGAAGGTCCTTCCAGAGAGGTAGCTGAGCATAACGTCAGGGACTGAATTAAATCCACTCAATTCGGATCCTGAATGTAAATATTTTAGAGTATTCCCTGTCCTGGATGCTTCTGAATTGGGATAGACCTGCTTCCTCCCTTCCTTCCTCCAAGAATCAGATAACAATAAAACATTGTTACGACTCTGGTTATCAACTCATAGCCTGAACGTTTGTTAGTTAGCAAAATGGATGGTGTGCCTCTGAGCCCAGGGTGCTCTGCTCTGTTTACACTGGAAGACTCTTTCTCAGTTAAAGGGAGAAGTGTCGGAAGGGGAATCCAAGGCCCTGAGTGACTACTGCTTTTAGGGACAGAAGCAGAGATGACCTCCAAGCAATTCTATTCAACACTCATTAGATTTGCAATTTTGGAGGATTCTTTACTGTGTACTTAGCACATTATCAAAACCTCGGGAGAATAAAAGATACACAGCAAGAGTGAATTCTCTGTGAACTGTTCTGGGTTTAAGAACATAGAGTCTTGAGGCGCGCAAGAGGGGAAGACATTTACTGAGATCTGTGCAGAGAGGCCAGTGTATCAGATTCAGCATTTTCTCATTTAATGAAGTCACATCCTCAGAATAGTCAACCAGTAAAGTGAAAACTGAGTTATAACAAAACAAGTAGGCTTCCTGGGGTTTTATATTTTGTATGAACAAGAGAGTTTCCAGTCACTCCAAAGGATAATTGTTCAGGAGCATAGAGTGTTGGCATCAAAGATCTCATACAAAAGTGGAAAACGACAGAGATTATTCTGATAGTATCTCTTGGGAGCATGAAGAGGTAAAACATATTTCTTAAAGTTTTCATGGCAGAGTTCGGACCCATTTCATTTAACTGTGCTATAGGGGGTCTGTTCTTTCCATAGGAAGGGGGTATTGAAAGAGTTTCTATGGAGCAAAGAACATGGAAAGCCTTGGCTATAACTAGGCATTCTGGACAAGGACAGTCTGAGCAATCCAGGCAACGGTGTGGGGTGTTGGGAGAAGCAATGGACGGTGCAGGCAGGAAACTCATCTTACGAGCATGTGTGTAAAATAGACTCAGAGCTACCCAGCTTCAGACACTCGCACCCTTACCATCTCTATTCCTAGCATGGAAAGACCAGAGCTCTCTCCCGTGCAGGTGTGTTTGTCACATAATAATAACTGTCATTTAATGCATCCCTGCTCTGTGCTTGGTATTTTAAATATGCCGCTGCTAATCCACCTGGCAGTGCTAGGAGGTAGGGTGACACAGTATTAATTTTGCAAAGAGACAGACTCAGAAATTAAAGGGTTTCCCACCATGAGACAGCCATCAATTATGACAAGTGGGATTTAGTTCCCCAGCATCTTTAATTTGCTGGTTTGAACCCCTGGCCTTTTGACTAAGGTATAGCACAGCGGGTAGGGCGTTCGCCTTACAAGCGGCCAACATGGCTAACCTGAGTTCGATTCCTCCGCCCCTCTCGGAGAGCCCGGCAAGCTACTGAGAGTATTCGATATGCCAGACACAGTAACAACAAAGTCTCCAATGGAGACGTTACTGGGCCCGCTCGAGCAAATCAACGATCAACGGGAGGGCCTTTTACCTTTTAAAGTAATTCTCAGACAGAGACTGTGAGAGGAAATGCGAACATCCCAGTCCAGGAAGAGGATGCACGGATCAACTTGTACCGGATTTTACTCAAGACAAATAATGGAGACTGGAGTGGTAGGGCTGGAGTGGTAGGGCGTTTGTCCTGCATGTGGCCAACCTGGGTTTGATTTCCAGCATTCCATATGGTCCCCCGAGCACCGCCAGAACTAATTCCTGAGTGCAAAGCTAGGAGAAACTCTTGTGCATCACAGGGTGTGAGCCAGTTCCCCCCCCCTCCTCAAAAAGACAAATAATGGCTGGTATTTGACACTATGGGCTTGTGATCAGACATGCTCCTTATTGAGAATTCACTGCCACAGACTGATTTTGAACAGCAGGCTAGAGACACTAGTGGAGCACTCCTTGGGGCCTACCAGCAGGAAAGACCAAAGCTACAGAAATTATCTGGTTTATTTTCTTTTACCAGATATTTACAAAAATATGTGGTTTACTCAAGCAGAAAATAGACATGGCTCCAGTTCACCCCAATGTAATTATCTTGACTTCATTTCCACCTAATTTTTCTTACTTAGGTAAACTCAGAGAGTAGTAAATAGAGTCCAGAGGTGGATGGAAAAACTGGCTTACCAATTATTGGCCATAAGCAATAAGCTCTTAACTTTCTTTTGGGTAAAAGTTTGAAGACAAAGTAGATAAAACCTATACACTTTTTGTATGTGATCTGTGGCTAGGGCTACTGAGAACCGTGGGAGAGAGACTGAAGAACAGGTTGCCAGGCACCCATTCACTGCCTTCCTTCCTGCTTCCCAACCACAGGACTCTAGTTCCTGCTGTTAGCGCTCACCCCTCCCATTCATGGAGAAGTGCTTGCAACCCCACATGGTTAAAATACCTGCCTACTAATGACGAACCTTCTGTTTCTTCAAGGGGTTTCCTTACTGGGCAAGAGCTGCCTTACCTGTAGATGCAAGAGAAGTTAAAACCACTCAGGTTTTATACCTATTAGTGGGGTCATTTAAGACTAATGAGTGATCAGTGAGAGGTGGGGGGAAATTGGGGTCATGTGAGTAATGGCAGCCTGCTGATCTGTAGACTAACAGTGTCTGTAGATCAGCTCATAGCCCCCGACTCTTTGTATCAAACTGAAAATTAGCTTTATTCAGAAAAAGAATTTTTGCTTGGTGTCTCTGATTTTTTTCCTGCTTCATAAATTATATTATACTGAGAACTTGTATGGGAA